ATCTTTCACACTTTCCGACGATAAAAACCTGAACTCCTAAATCTCCTCTGGTATCAGTTTCAGCTCTACGATACTGTAAATGTCAATACATTTACCTTTCTGGTAGTTTCTGCGAGGGCGGGGCTTCACGCACCTGCCGTAACACACCTGGATACAGGAAGTGCTTTGACGTCAGAGGGAGAGGCGTGTATAGGAATGGCAAAAATCCCGCTCGACCTGCCCGGTGGCCAGCTTGGATATATAATAAGGTCGCCAGAGAGTCTACAAAGTACAGAAATATCGAATCTCTTCAGTCCGACACATACACATATGCTGGACCGTGTGTGACTTCTTTTAAAGAATATCTTTAAGATGTCTATTTTACCTGATGATGCGGTGTTTGCCGACTTTAGAAAGCAATGTTTAGCAACGGACAACTGGGTGAACAAGTATGACAGTAATGGGATGCAAGTGTGGGTCGAAGTCCCTGCAAAGAAAGTCAAAAATGCACCGAAAATCCACAAGATCAAGGTAAGTTCATTTTAACTTCACACTATCTTTACACATAATCACCACTGTGACACACTTGACTTGTGTTTTCTGACACTTTTTGTGTGTGTGTGTGTGTGTGTGTGTGTGTGTGTGTGTGTGTTTCAGTGTAAAATGACAATCAAAGATGTATCAGCTGCCACCATGTACGACGTCCTTCATGATAGCCGGTACCGTAAGGATTGGGACCCCACCATGTTGGAGAGCTTTGACATTGCCCGACTCTCTGCTAATGCTGATGTGGGCTACTACTCATGTAAGAACTCTTTATCTGATCAGTCTTATCACATTTCTCTCTCTCGCTCTGTGTGTGTGTGTGTGTGTGTGTCACCTGTAGGCCCACTCAGTTTCACCTGTCACACACAAGAAATACAAACACTGCAAAAGGGAAAGTGTCCATTTAGAGTTATGTTTAGATATTATTATTATTATTATTATTATTATTATTAGATATTATTTTATACCACCCTATATGGAAGAATCTCAGTATTTCAATACAGGGCATCATTAAAATACCATTTATTGAGCAAATTATTGAAGCAATAACAATTCAATCTGTGTATTTAAAAGTGCTGTAAAGTTTGCAAATAGTGTAAAATTGACCTTTTATTTTGAGCTATAGTGAAGATACTGAAATATAAACAAACATTATTATCTATTATTTTCCCATCAGCAAGCTCTTCTGTCCATATTTACACATTCAAACCAGTTGTTTTCTTTCAATCCATCCATAGTGCATCGTAGCAGTTGTTTTCAACCTCCATTTTTGTTTCTTCTGCCGACAATCTCGTAAGCTGCTGAAGCCCTCAGGGATGAAGAATGAGCGGCCGGTTGTTCCACCACTGTGTTTGTTGTCATAACAAGGGTGTACTTGTTGAGTCTCAGGTTGTGACAGTGGAAACCTGAAGTAATGAAGGAAGTCTTACACAATAAAACCTGATTTTTATGTCTTTTTTTCCCCTCTCTCTCTCTCTCTCTCTCTCTCTCTCTCTCTCTTTCTCTTTGTGTGCAGGGCTTTGTCCAAAGCCAGTAAAGAACAGAGATGTAGTGAGTCTGCGCTCGTGGCAGGTGATGGATGACGAGTACATTATCGTTAACTTCTCAGTCAAACACCCGGTACGCCACCTCCTCCACACACTCCCAGGCACATAGCAACCACTGCCTTTCGACAGCACTCTTTCACCTATTGTCTACTATTGTAACCTCTATTTAACATCTCTACATTTGTCTTAATAAGTGTCACATGTCCAAATTGCATAATGTTAAGTGTAATTTTTCTCATTATTCTACAAACTTCAGAAATACCCTCCTCGCAAAGACCTTGTGAGGGCAATTTCCATCCTCACTGGCTATTTCATCAAGCCCACAGGACCTGACAGCTGTACTTTCATATACCTCTCACAAGCTGACCCCAAAGGTAAGACCATAACAAACGCTAAAGTTGTTCTTTTCTAATCAAGAATTGTCGCTGAGACATTTGTAGAGCCGTTTCTAAAGTTTGTCTCTTTGCTTCAGGTTCTCTTCCAAAGGTTGTGGTAAACACGGCCACTCAAGTTCTCGCTCCACGGGTATGTAAAGTAACACACAACTGTTGTCACTAACTATTTTCACTAAAAGCTTTGTTTACTTCTAGTCAACAGCAGCACCAAAAGGTTAAACCACACCACATGAACTATGTATCAGTGTGTCTGACGGCGTGTGTGTGTGTGTGTGTGTGTGTGTGTGTGTGTGTGTGTGTGTGTGTGTCCATTAGGTGTTTTAAAAGGTGTTTAATAGGGGTGTGTGCGTGCATAAGGGAGTGAGGTTTCACGTGTCTTTAGAGGACAATGGTAACCATAGAAACCCAATTTAAGAGCCTGTCCTGGTAAGATTGCTGACAAAGAGTATCTTAGCTTGAGCGCTCTCTCCCGCTGCAGAACTTGTTCCCCAAGTTTCATATCCTCCACAGATATCTGTGTGTGTGTGAGAGAAACTGAGACGGAAACATTGACCTTCTTCACACCGTCAGTGATTTCTATCAACTGAACCATTGGATGGCAATAACGCGTAGTAAACATTGAAAATGAGATTAATAATAATGTAATCTTTATTTGTAGAGCACCTTAAATCATGTTAGAAGAGTGAAATAAAACTACAAAACCAGCTGTAAACTAATAAGCAGTCAAATCAAAAGAAGGGTGAAATTAATTTGCGTAAATACGTGTAGTTAATTTAAAAGGTTTCAGCCAGGCTGCGATCCTCCAAATAGCAATGAACAAAACATACTGAACAAAGTGTATTTTAGCAGTTTAGAGCAGGTTGTTCTTGAGTCTTGTGGTGTCTTGCTAGGTTCCTGCAGGAGGAGTGCTTAAATCTGAGTGGCTTTTGATTTTCTTTGTCGATTATTATTTTTTTTGTCTTTGTCTTGTTTTGACAGTCCGAACCTAATATTCAGTTTACTTAAAAAAAAACCCACGACATTTTTTTAGGCTAACTTTTTGGCATTTTTCCTTGTAAATTTTTCTTAAAAGATTATTTTCAAAACTATCAAAACGGTTGCAGATTTAATGTTATGTTGATCATTGTTTCAGCTCTAGACTAGAGAATTACTGATGGCAGATAAAAACTATAAAATTCAGTCAGTTTGGTTCAGGGTGAAGTAAAAGATATATGTACGGCAAGATCACCATTTTACACTTGAGAATGTAAAGGCATGTGTTAAAATGTTAATGGCCGTGTCAGAGCTGTAAATAGTGTAGGCCTATGTAACTGCTTGCCACATCATCTGTGACCCAGTATTTTGTGACCAGCTTTATCTTCAGCTTTGTTGACTGTGAATGAAGGTGTGGTACGATCCTCATTGTCCGGCATTATCGGCCCTCTGATAATCGTATCTTCTCTTGGCCCACTCCTTCCAGGTGATGAAGTGTGTGCACAAGGCGGGACAGAACTACCCAGAGTGGAAACAGAAGAACTCTCCCGACCAGAAGCCCTGGTTGTACCCAGAGCAGAACACCCTGCCCATGATGGACCCAGCCGAACTGTCAATACAGAGAGCAGACTCGCTAGAAAATGTAAATGAGAGATCCAAGGTGGAAGGTCCGGACAGCGAGGACAGCAGTTAAAAGAGACGGGATGAAGGGTATCCGTGAGTGAGAGATTATGGGGGTGGACTACACATACTGACAAATCCAATAAGACTTGAGAGCCCGGCTCTCTCTGATTTATCCAGTTTTCCAAATCAGCATACCTTTTTGGATGAGCATGAAGTGTTTACAGCTGCCTTATAGACAGAGATTAGCACAGATCAAGATGCCATTCACCTCATGTTGAACTAAGCTGAACATGTCTCCAGTGTTTGTTTTTTTTACAATGTAAAGGCTTAGAGGTGTTAGGGTTTGAATGTGTCATATATACAGCACTAAATTTATAATATGTCCTCTGTCAGGCCTTTTTTTAATTTTTATTTTATTTGCAGCTATACACATTTTAAGTGAGGAAATGAAGCGTAGTTGTCCACTAGTCACTCTTCGCCTTTACAAGTGACTGTGAATGGAAATAAGATCAGTGGTGAAAGTAGAGTGACATTATGTATTTCTGACACCAAGTTCACTCGTGGTTTTTATAAATAAATTGCTCATTACAAGATAATCTTAGCCCAAACTGGACACTCTTAAAATAGTGTCTTTTTATTTTGTTAACTCGCATTAATATGGCTTGTTACACTGTTAAAGGTTCTGGGTTTGTGCAGCAGCTCTGGGCGTCAACCTCCAATCTGTTGTTCCAGAAATACATTTTTTTGGCTTAAATGCACTTCACAAACACTACATTTGCTACTGATTTTGTTTTTAAATGTGAACTTTAACCATTAATTTTATGAAGTCGTGATTAGTGAGCAACTGTGCTGTATTTCTCTTTACTGTGTGATACATGAAGACTGTTGGAAGGTTTATTGTATTATTTAGATGTTGTGCAATCTAAGTTTATGCGATCTAATCCTAATTAATAAGCTGTACAGACTGTAGACTTGCATTGGCACTCAAGGAGGGAATCAGTTGTGGATTTCTGAGAATTACAATCTAGTTAGGTTGTATTAACATGTAAAATGTACATAGCAAGTTTGCATTTTGTCAATGGAAGGATTGGAATGACCATAAGGGATATCTTTTATTTTATTTATTTATTTGAAGTTAAGCTCAAATGAAGTCATGATGGAGCAAAGACCCTGGAATGAAACCCTGCAGGGTTTTAGTTTGTTTTTTGTAATGTTGAGTGTTACATGGTCTTGACTTTTTCTAAAAAAAATAAACCTTGCATGGTTAACATGCTTTCACTAATCACTGTCACTGACTGCATTCCTCTTAAGATGACAAGTCAGTTTCAAGAGAAACCAACTAACAAAGTGGAACAAGTTTGTCTACTTGTACCAGAGCAAACCAGGTCCATTTCCAGCTCTGGTTCAGGTTCTTCAACAACAAAGACAAAAAGGTAACTAAGGTTCAAAACGTTTTATTTCTTCTACCTTATCAGTGTCTTAATACTTACATCTTTAAAGTTCATCAGATGGAAAACCAAAAGTTACTCCTTTGTATGAAAGTTAGTCGAGTACAATGAAATAAGACAGTGTTGACATGCAGCAGGCAGGTAAACACCAAGACAGGTCTCACCAAATTTAGTGTATACTAGCAGTAACATCCAGCAGTGTTCAGCTGTTTTCTGTAACTGTTCTAATGAATGAGGATTTACTTTATGGCCAAAGCTTGTTTCTGCTGATTGTACTGATAAACACAACCTGAACTACAGAGGCTAAAATGACAGAAGTACCTGATAAAGTCTTCAGTTGCAACAAAATCCTGCTAACATCAGATTCTCCACTGCACACAGATACTATTACAGACTCTACCAAGATACAGGGCGCAGTGTGCTGTTATGCACATATAAAATGTTGGAAGTTTGGCACCTCAGTTTATACATTGAATAACTACAATATCATTCAGCGTGCAGTTTCTGTTAAACTAGTGTATGAAACATGAACAAAATCAATACTTAACATTAATGCGTCCCCAACAGCAGTCGCTGAAATGTATTTACACAACCTAATATTTCCTACACGATTAAAAAATGGTTGTGAATATTTAAAAACAGGATCTGCAATATATTCACAGTGATGTTTAGATCAGTGATATTTAAATTGTATTTCCTCTTACGATGTGTAAAGCCCGGCAGTCTGACAAATCCATGTCAAGTGTACATTTTTAACGTGTATATACAAAACTAACGCATACCACAGTAACAGATCCTACCTACAGGTGTTTGTAGCACTCTTGAGGTGTATTTCTAACATTCTGTCAAAGTTTTTAAAACAGGTTCAACAAAAACTGAACTGTCAGCATGGAAAGATTTATTGACAGGCTGATGTATTGTGCTGCATTCACTTTAACTAGGCGTACCTAATAAACTGGAAACACGGGTGTATGTATATTTATCAGTGTCATCAAGGCAAATGTGTACAGTACACGTGTGTGCTACTCTGTACTTGATTAAAATATATATTCTAAGACTACAGTAGAAACATCTAATTAGGGCTTGAGGAAAAGTTAATAAATTATGCAGGCTGTATAAATGTTGAACTATAAATGCATGACTAAAAAATATGTATCAGTTACATAATGAATCATGTAAAATGTCAAAGCTTCTGCTTCCTTCACTTCCTGTGAATGCATCCTGATGGAACCGAAATCATCACGTATCGCAGTAGATTAGGGAGTGCTCAGACTTCTGCCTGAGAGAGGAAAGCGAGTCTATGACAGAGTATGTATTGTCCTTACATGGAACACTTTGAATGAGTCCGTTAGTCATACATCAGTCATCTTGAAGCTGAGACAGAATGGAGGCCAGAGTCTGTGGGAGGAGGGTAAGGACGTGCAGAGAAGCGTCTGTACACATCTCTCCCTCGCTTTGCTGCCACCTAATGTACAGTCCTCTCCTTCTGCCTTTGGTAGTCTGATAAAAGAATGCACAGAGGACAACATTACAATACTGAAAGGAGTGTCGTTATATAATCTCATACCAGAATGATCTAATTCAGTGACTCCAAAGTTGTTGTTTTTTTATGTTGAAGACATACACTGAGATAATTATCTTAGCTACAGTACAGTTACTGTGCCCACTGTAACATGCTGGTATGTAAGTGCTGACAGGCTTGAAATTATTGATGTTTGGTTCCCCAGAAGAAGAGACATATTCTTTATATAAGCTGCCCTCACACACATTAACTTTTTTACTGTCATTTAGATAAGGCATATAACACACTGTAGTATTACTGGGAGATAATAAAAGGCACATGTTACAAATTCGAAACAGATTGGAATCTGCTATCGCGCCAAAAACATCCTCTGGGAGAAGTAAAGTTCTACTTTATCTTATAGTAACAACAACTAAAGCTAAATTTAAAGCTGTAATATGTAACATTTCTACATTAAAATGTCTATTAACCCAAAACTCGTCATATATTTCCATGAGTTATGTACTTACATTATTATTGTTTCCAACAATGTTCAAAACCAGAGAAAAATGTAAGTTTAATGTAATCAATCACCAGTAACGGTGTGTTTCACTGGTCGCCTGTCAATGGTGTCATATGCTGGTTGGCCGTCATGAATTTTATTTTTATCAAGTATGGCCCACATTTTCACGATACACTTTTTAGATCTCTGTCGTTTCTAACTATATTTTATAAACAGATGAAGGATTTCGGTCATTGGACATCTGGATCTTAAGTTTCAGAGAAACAAGACAAGCAACTGTTGGTTTGTTTTGGAAAGGACTCCAGATAATTCAGATAACTCCCAGTAAAAAAACTCCTGAGCAATGAACACTGAAGGAATTCTAACCCTGAGAAGTTGATGGAAATAGTGCTGAAGACAACAACTTCCATGATCCGACGCTACTTTATGACAGTTTTTTGCGGTGGTTCGTATGTGCGAGACCACATAGCGGCAGAAATTACATATTGTACGCTGAAATATTGTGTGATGCTGTTAAAGATTTGTTTGATTCAATAACGTTTGGAAACAAAGCAGGTCTATCATTTAAATTAAAAACAGTAAAAAACACATAAATGGCAAATTTCACACATATAAGTCAAACACCTCATTGTCTGTAAATGAATGGATCTGTTTAATGCTCAATTATTGTGAATAAAAGAAAACTGACATACTAATACAAATTCTTCATTAAAAAAAGATTGCTCAGTAATATTTTGATTTCTTTACACACTCTCTAAAATCATCTTCACAATGGGCAAAACCAAAAGATATGAACTAACATAAATGGTCCGTAATAGTTGTTAGTAAAGCAAAGGTACAGCAGATGTCAGATCTGGAGTACAGACTCTATTTACACGACTTAGAGCTGCTTTTGGATATGCTTTTGTAGAGTGAGACTTACTGTAAGGAAAGAAGCGAACCCTCATCAGTATTTCTCGCGCAGTCTTCAGAATCTCTACAGCCTGAAGAGGAAGAATAAATTAACTTAATGCAATAATAAAAAGGCTTTCACCAATAAAAACTGTAAACAATGCAACTATGGGCTCACCTTATGGATGTATTATTGCCCCTTCACTGAGAAAGATGTTTGACTGCACAGTGGTTACTTGCTGTATTTTCTATATTTAATATTGTCTGCATAATGATACTACATTTTGTACAATTTTCATTAGTCAAAATTTTGCTTTTGGCTCTGGTTTGAATGAAATTGGAAACCCAAATTATATTCTCCATTCTTAAGCAGTTTCGCATTCAAGGCTGACAGATCAGCCCACTTTGACCAGAAGAAAATATGACAAGAATGACTGAACATACACTAGCTCTACGTTGAAAACTTGAGACAACACATGTGTCAATACAATCCATTACATTACACATATCTGTTAAAGCTGCATTTTCAACATGTTCTGACTAAAGTGAAGATGATCATTAGGTGGTAGTTAGTCTTCCCGGGGTCCACTGTTGCAGGTTTGCAATGAAAATGTAAATAATCCACTACATGGATGGATGCAGTATAATAATGTGTGGATTGAAATCTGTAATCTCAGTTTGAAAGTGCTGCTCTGACTTACTCTTGAGTGCTCTATGTCTTGGAAATCAACCTCATTCACAGAAAGAACCTGGTCCCCCTCTTGAAGCCCTGCTCTGTGGGCATCTGAGTCTGGGACCACCTGCCGACACATCACACAGACAATATTACTGCACAACAACTATGAATGCCAGTAAAAGCCACACCAAACACCAGGACACACACACACACACACACACACACACACACACACACACACACACACACCTTGGATATAAAGATTCCCAACTGTGATGCCTTGCCCCCACGGATGTTGAAGCCCAGCTGTGCTCCTGGAGGTTTCTTCAACACAATGGTACGAGGCAGGAACTGGGTGAGCTCGTTGTTGTAGTCAGTGTGATGAACCCGCTAAACACATACAAAGAAAAAGAAAAGCCGACAATGTACTACCAGAATGGTGGCATGAAATCCTTTATGACTATGACATTTATTCTTTATACACACTTACTAAAAACAATCTGATAAGGGTTAACAAGCTGATCCTAAATCTTGACTTGACTTTGACCCCATTTCAGTTGATGCTGTGACTGGTTTTGGTCTCACTGCCAATTGTTGTGTGTTTTTTGTGTTGAAGTCACACATAGGAAACAATATATATTAGCTCTCCGTGTGAAAGATAAAGGAGCCCTTTAATCGTTTGTTACATACTGTAATGACTGAGAATCTCTATCCCCTGATGAATACCTGAAGATGCAGTTGAAAGCTTCATAAAGTGCAAACATTTTAATATAGTTTTATTTCTCAAAGTTATATAGGAGTTAAAGTACAACGTGTGGTTGTGGTAATATGTGGCATACCTCCTGTGGGGGTATCCATGCTGGTGGGTTCTCATAAGAGGGCAGGAATACCACTGGGAGCTGGTAGTCATCATAAGGAATCTTCTGATCCATTGTAACTGGGAAACACCACAAGAAACAGAAATACATCGTTATAAAGAGTCGTTCTTTAAGGTTTAGGATAATACTTTGTTATTAAAAAAAAAAAAAAAGTAACAGTCCACATTATGATAATCTAACGCTATATGTACATATTAGTATGAATATGTTAGTTAGAGCATTAATACAGAGGAGGGGGACCAACCCATAACACTGTCTGTCACTGTAGGTTAGCTACTAGTTACTCAATTCTACTAAAAATCTATTTCCAAAGTGTAAACCTGCTGACATAATACAAATCCTGAAATAAATGCGAATATACCGACATACACGTGGCTCAGATGCTAGAAATAAAATCGTGTTTTATCCTGTTTTGGATCATTTCACTCTGCAATGTAACGTTACGAGTTGCTAGCTGACAGTTAGCCTAGTAGCTAACTTTGAAACGAGCCAGCTTCGCTCTCTTCCTCGCCGACCATTTTAACGAGGATTCACTATCATCACCGTATGAACTATGAGGATTAAGATACTGCACAACATGTGGACGAAAACCGCAGAGTGACAGCCATAAAACAACAAATTATCTCACCTGCCAGCCTGAAAGCTACAAACTTCTTTTTCTTATTCTTCCTGTTTTTTGTTTGTTTTTCGTACAGGTGCATACCGCCACCTACCGGACCGGAGGATGTAGAACAGGGTCTACTTTAGTTTATTTTGTTTACATTAGGCTATGAACAAAATAAAAAAATAAAAACATATTCCTATATATCCATATTCTTATATTCTACTAAACAATAAAACAATGTATAAGCCCTCTCTGTGCTTACACACCGGTCTCTTTATTTGCCCCTAACATCCCTTCTAGATCTCCCCCTCATCCAGCCTCTCTCACCCTTTGTTGTATTCTTACTCTCTCTCTCTCTGTTCATGGTATTTGATGCAGTACAGTATTACATGTTCACGCTCAGTTATACTACAATGCGCACATCCTTGTTAATTTTCCTTACCCAATAAAAATTATGTCTTATTTAAACCAGTGCGATCAAATTTTCTATATAACTACCTCCTCTCTTCCATTTCATCCTTTAACACTTTGTGCTCTAACCTTAACTGTTTTTTTGTATTCTATAGTTTGTATATTGTAGGGTTTTTTGTTGCCAAATTTCAGATACTTTCTTTTTTATTAATGCTTTCCCTTTCCCAAACAAAATGTCAATTATATTCCTCCTTTTTTAGCCACCCTGTCTGCCAATCCATTACCCTTAATTCCCACATGTGCAGGTACCCAACAAAATCTATCCCCAATCTCTTAGTTCTGAATAAATATTGAAAAACATTGAAAATTTGACAATTGAAAATTGAACATAAAATCTTCCCCAACTGATTTAATAGTCTGTAAACTTAATAGAACTGATGCAGGGTCAATACCCATTACTGTTACCATTATTTATCTTAAATTGCACATGTACAGTTTAGTTTTTTTGTCAAGCTGCTTAAAATATTTTAAATTGCACACCATTGTACTTGCACATTGTTTATTGCTTATAGTGTATATCATTTTCAGTTATATTCCCCAATGCTGCTGTTTCTCCTACGGGGGATTAATAAAGCTATATCTTATTTTATCTTATCTTACTACCCTGTCTGGTCTCATATCTTCCACCCACTGAAGCTGGAAACAAAACACTTTTTCTAGTATGACACGATTGGCCTGGCATCAAGTGCATTGCCGCCACCTACTGACACGGAGGAGTCAACATGCAGTGCAACAATCTTCCTTGAGGTCTGACAGCAGCTTGCATCCTTCGTGTTGCATTACTGCCATCCTCTGGAGTCAGTGAACTTCAATGTCCTTTCCTTTTTTTTCTGCAATGAAAGTATTCACTCAGCCTTTACTATAATAGTTACTGCTACTTTATTTTGATAACTCCATGTCCCCACTCAGTTTTTTAATCTCCTTTTGTACCTGCAGTGTTCCCACTTGAGTTTTCAGCACTTTCTCCAGTACAGTATGTCCCTTTTTGCCTGTCTTATTGTCCTCCTTACTACTGATTTGTTTGTGTCCTATACTAGAAAGAAGGTTCTTCTTGTTTAAATATTTTTTTATATCTTTTTATTTATGTTTCTACTTTTCTCATGATACCACGGTGCTGCTCTCCTCTTTTTTTTGCCTTTACTTTTAGGAATGGAATCTAATGCAGCTGAAATTATACCTCATCTCATCTTATATATTATTATCAAATGTTTCTATGTCCATATTATAATCTGTCTGGCTCAGGTATGTATTACTTTCTTTCCAAAAGAATTCTCCCAATTAGCCCTCTCAAAACGTTAAAAGATGGGTCCCATTTAGAGACAGGTCCTCGTAATAGCCTGGTGTGACTCCACGTTTGGACAAACAAATGCAGGTCTGAATTTTATAGAAACTATTTGAAAGTATAAGAACTTTGAAGGCACACAAGGTCGCCCACTTGAGCAAGTTCTAAGCTGCTTGGATCTACTTCACAAATATAAATGTTTAAGCTTTTGTATATATAAACATATCATCATTAGATCAGTTAGATTCTCCGAAATTCAATTGTTCTGTTCATTTTACAGAAACCATGAGCACTAAAGTATCAAAGGATAAAAGAAAGGATAACTGATGTGTTTTCCGATTTTTTTAATAAAGTAATTTTCATACTGGATAAATAAACAGTTTGATACTATCTTTGCTGAACAAGTGTTTTGTTCCAAATATGTTGAGTTCAGTGATTGAAGCAATTAAAAGCCATAATTATTATTTTTGTTAAAACTTAAAAAAAAATATTAATTGAAGTTTGTGTAATACAAGTGATTTGGATGAATTTTGAGCATATTATTTTCTGTTTAGGGAATCACTTTTACTTTCATTTACATTCACAGAAGTGAACCAAATGCTGAGATATAAGCCTACTGGGTACATTTTAAAGTTTTCTTACACCCCCCATGAAGCTTTGGGGACCCCTACCCAGGGCAGGAAGTGATAAGTTCAATGAAAAAGATACACGTATTTGGAAAAATGTAATTTAAAACTTTAAACTCACGTGTAGCTGCAGCAGAAGAAAGCATCACGTGCATGTGTCATTCTGACACACTTCAAAGCAAAAGCAAAACATTTGCATATATTTATTCATGGCCTCACTGGGATCATTCAGTCATAGATTAAAAAGCAGCTTTCCCATAGGCCTATATTGTCGTTGGGAGTCAATGAATTGCAGATATGAAGCAGTAACCATGCATCTGTTACAGCTTTAGTTTTTTGGAAAATAGGTTATTTTTTTAAGGAGTATTTGCAGAAAATATAGAGATTAAATGTACAGATTAAAATAACTTTGGATCTAGTATGTGGGACAATGTGAAACAGGACTTTTAGAGCAAAAGCAGCTTAAATACATAAAGTGTATTAGTGGGTCATTTTAGCCTCCATCTTGTTTTTCATGGGTTTGACCTTACTGTCTTTCATTATATCCCCCTAATGCTAACTGTTGCAGATGAACTGACATGTGCGATTTATAGTAACCTGTATATAAGCTTCAAGTTTCACTTCAAGTTTCACTCTACCTGATTTGAAGCCTCCTCCCTCTCTGTTCGGGTTCCACCCCCTTTTCCTTTCATCCATTCTCATACAAACACAGACCGATGTTAACATTCAGTACACGGACTCACAGAGAGTGAAAACGGGTGCGAGAGGATCAGAGAGGAGGAGAGGACAGAAGAAGTTTCTCCCCAAAGAAGGCTGCCTCGGAGCGAGTGCGTGAGGGGAAAGAAACGGCACAGTGTGATCATTCATGGTGAGTCCGTTTCGGTTTGTTTGTTTGTTTGTTTGATTGATTGATTGATTGATTGATTGATAGATAGATAGATAGATAGATAGATAGATAGATAGATAGATAGATAGATAGATAGATAGATAGATAGATAGATAGATAGATAGATAGATACCTGTGGATAACATTGCATTACATTAAAGATGACAGGTTGAAGCTAAATGGTCTTCTATCATGCAATAATTTCTTCACATCATATTTTATTGTTTCTATCAAACATTCCTTAATTGAAAGCAGGTCAGCCATTTAATTCAAGTGCTATAACTGTGTGTGGTACCGAGATGCACTATTTGCATATGAACACATTAAACACAGCATTGCAAAAAGCAAGAAAGGAGGGAAAAAAGGACAGAAGGACAAAAAAGCACCCCAACCAACGCCATTCACAATCCTGTGAGAGAGATATAGAGAAAAACTTTATTTCAGACTCAGGGTCCTGATAAAAGACATTAGAAAAAGATCATGATTTAAAAAATATTAAAAAACACATATTAATGTCTTACAAAGAGAGAACTACCAATGTGTCCACTGCTGTGATTGGTAGTGAGTAACATTAAAGGTTATTTCATTTTCAGAGTCATTAAACTGACAAATAAATCCATACTAAGTATTGACTCCTGCCCCCATAAATATTTTATTTGCACTACACCATCTAAGTCTTGTAAGGGATTTTCTCACAACATCACTATGAGCTACTCACAATGAAAAGCTGCTGTTCTTCATTCATAATACAAATAATATCACTGCAAGTAAAAAAAAAAGAACAATAAAAGCACATATACACAAGATAAGACATGTTGGTGTTAAGTGATGTGGATGGCTAAGAGAATTTTAGGGGAAAAAAATCTTTTCACACATCGCTGCTGTTAAAAGCTCTAAATAGCTTGTGAGGTGTTTAGTGTTTTGTTAAGTGTCTTTCTTGGTATTCGAAGACAAAATGAAAGTTTTGGAGTTCAAAGTGAAGGTTGACAAAACAATTTCTGCTATTGAGGAAATTACTTCAAGCAGAGTGAGATTGAGAGATATGTGTGAACTTTTACTCTTTCCTCCTGCATGAACACCATCAGTCGTTTAAGATTATAAGATATTTTATCTCTCATCATTTTTTATTACAATACTGCCTCACTACATTTTTTAGACTAATTACAGTTTATGTTTGCCAACACTTAGTGATGATAGCGCTGTGGCTGAACCAATTGGCAAGGTGTGTGTCTGTGGTGTCTTTTAATCTGTAACAACAACGCAGGTGAAACTGTGTGCTATGCCTTTATGTAGTTTATGTGGAGTTATCTAATGTGTGAAATTAAAACCTTGTACTTAAACTGATGCCTTCCAGCTATATACTATATATACTATAGCTGGAATGGGACATAAAAAGGACACTGTTGTAATTTGCATTTAATTTGTCTTTGATTGTAAGGAGGACATTTCTATTTCCCTTTCTTTTGTAAACTTGTCATTGGATGACAGTTTGGTTTCACACACATATTTACTGTTATTGCTCAACATTCAGCTCAGGTTTAACACTTCCTTGTGCTGTGCTCGGTTTGTGCTGTGAAACAAGGCATCTCGTGTTTCATGACAGTGACATTCAGACCTGTCGACGTGCCCAAACATGCTTTTACTAGATGATTAAAAAGATAATAACTGGCGGGATGTTATTTAATTCTATGGAACAAATACTTAAATTTTGTCTTAACTTGACTTGCTTGATCTATTCAAAACTTATGTCCTGAGCTTGAACTTGATTATTTCCCTGAAGGCTTTGATTAGGGAAACATAATGAACAATCCAGGTGAGATAACAGCTGGCAAAATCCCCAAGCCAGATCAAGTCCAACGAGAAACAGTTGGTCGTGTGAAGTCCTTTCACAATAGAAACCTTTATTGCTCAATGTGCCTCCATGGTGGGTGACAAATTTTCCACGTAGAGTGGACTGAAACCTGGCATCTGTAAAATGATGTGCCCCTACATGTTTGCTTAAATCTCACTGTGACCATTCCCGGGACACCACAATTCAACATGTAAACACATACGCAATCTAAACCCCCCTAAACTGCAGTAACTAACTGTCAGTATGCAAACTGCTCTTTATTTGGACCCTCTCTGTGCATGGATGTGCCTGTCACTGTGGCTGTTTGTGATCCAAAGGCTCAATAGTGTGACTTCACTCTCAGGACGGTCCGTGCACTGCTCTCAGTTCCCCATGGTGTTGCCCATTGTAAGTGCAGCCAGCACACAGGCTCTATTGAGGGGGGTATTGAGCAGGGATTGCCTTAATACTCAAAGAAACTTTTTTCCCCCTTCCCCCTCATTTGCTTTCTGTCACAGTCATCTTTTTTCCCCTCCTACCCACCACAGGTTTAGAGAGGTGAATGAGGTCGACCCTCTTCTTGGTATCCAGAGAAAGCGTTATCTGGGCTCCCTCCATCTTTCTTCAGGCTGCGTGTATCAGGCGTCCAGGTTGCACTGAGCAGGATCTGTACTTCCTACACTGTGGATGAGGTGGAAAAGAGATGTCTCCATGTAAAGAAAGCTGTTGCCGAGTTTGCAGCAGGGGCTTTTATAGCTGCCACTGGAAGCACTCGAGTGAAAATAAGAAAGAAGTGAGTATTTCTATATGTGTGTATATTTAAGTTGACACATGTGAATATATTTTTATATGACCATTAGTGAGTTCAGACAAGCCTTAAATTACATAATTTGGTCCAAATTACTTTGTCGATTTAAGTTTTCAGGTCCCTTGTTCTACTGAGTATAGCCTTACAAATCCCTGTAGTAAATCCCAGGGATTGACATTCCACAGCACTGAATCAGTGAACTGTATAAAATATTACCAATGAACCGTTTAATTTAATGCTTTTAATGCATTCTGTGAGAAAGCAGTTTGCATATGTGTTGTAAAGTAGAAGTGTAAACTGTAAAAACTGATGAAAAAGAAAGGCTGAATATGAACCCGTGTGCCAAGAAAAATAAGTAAACTCACAGGCCCCAACAGGCTTGTTATGGACCAGTCTGGAACAGGATTATAAAGGGGAGAGGGGGATGGTGGAGGGAATGATTTTGGAGGGTGGAGGTGTTGTGATGCTGAAAGACAAAATGTTTGTTGTCAGTGCAGGGTGCAAAACCAAGTATGAAAAAATGTTGAAGTTGTTCCATTTGCCTTCACCAGATCAAATTTTCTTTGGAATCCAATGCATACATTCATTTACACAAACACAAAGCATGCAGAAGATCTTGATTATGATCTTAACCTGTTTTGAGTGTGAAAATGAACAAGATTTCACCTGTTTCTTTTTTATTATAGCATGCATGCTGCTGGTTCTCAGGTGTCTCTCTGGTCTCCCTGCTTGCCCTGTGTTGGATGTACATTTGTCTGGTTACTTTTAATGACCGAGATGATGTTAACGCGTGAGTGATCACAAGCATGCGCACACACACACACACACACACACACACACACACACACGCACGCACACGCCCTACATTGAATCCAGCATAAAAGCCCAGAATCCTCTCTTTTCTTTCCTTTTCTTTTCTTTCTTTATTGGTGACCTCTGCTGCCCTCTTTTGTTTCTATTATCAGGGAAAGCTTCGCAAAGCTGAAACAGTGGGTGAACTGGTTCATGGTGCTGTTCATCATTTCTGCAGTGTTAACCAGCTACTGCGTTCTGCTGCTGGTAAGATTGCGGTTTTAATAATATGGTGTTGAGAGTCAACAGTAATGTACCTGTATGTTTAGAATTCTTGCTCAATAAAAGACATAAAACAGCCTTAGCAACCAGATATTATGACAAAATGATGATTTCTCACGTACACCATTCATTACAGCTGTTTGCACTGTTCCAAGTGGCCTTAGGAGAACCACTCGACTTACATTGGCTACACAAGGTATCACAAACATTTATTCCAAATATGCCTCATCTATTGCGTTTTTATTCAAATTGCTGAATGTCATGTTTGCTTTTTCTCTACACAGATCCTCTTATTTTTTGGTGTGGTGTTCATCACTTTTGGGGTCGTAGGAATCGGTCTCATATGGAAACAAGAATGGCCAATTGTTCCTCTCTCACTCCAGGTACAGTGAGTGTTTCATACTCAGGGCTTAAGGGTGTGTGAGATACTGAGAATGTAACACTTTAATTGTCTGTGTTCATCATGTATGTCGTCCTCCTGGCAGGCCACAGCTCCTTTCTTGCAGTTTGGTGCTGTTGGGGCGTTGACCCTGCTGAGCCCTTTCATCTTCCGTGGTTTCTACGTGGCCAAGGGACAATGTATGTCTCAGACCTGATTTAAGAGCACACATTCACAAACAATTACAACGCTGTGTACAGACATAACATTTTCCAGACATAGATATCATCTCTGAGTCAATTTTGAAAATTAGATAAAAGGTTAGAAAAGCTAAATCTTATTGTTTGACTTTTGTTCTCACCAGGTTCTAAGTTCCTCATTGCAGTGGCATTCATAGCGGTGTCAGCAGCCATCTTCCTGTGTCCACTGTACATCCAGTCTCCATGTCTGATAGAAGTACATGAATTACCTGAAAAACCGAAACTCATTGGCCACCGGGGCGCACCAATGGTGAGCATCCTGTTTTTCTTGTCAACACCCGAAAGATACACATAGTGCACCTTTCATGTAGGAGTTGTAACAGTTGAGGCATAGCAGTTATAAAAAATAAGGCTTTGTAGTTGTATGTGAACAGACAGTAGTTCAGTGATCCTTTCAAGGGATTGTGCGTCATAAGAGTCTGAATACCACCTGGACAAGAAGTCCCTGCTCCCAGCCGATAAATAGTCCGATACATAACCCCCGTAGAATCAAAAAGTGTCTTACTTACACTCACACACAGTTTAAACTCACACAGATTAAACAAGATACAGTAAGTTAATTAGTAAGCTTTAAATGTTGCTGGTAAGTATTACCTTCAGACAGAACTAGACTAGACTAGACTAGCTGTTTCCCCCTGCTTTCTGTCTTTATGCTAAGTTAAGTTAAGCTAACCATCTCCTGGCTGTATCTTCATATTTAATGGACAGATATGAGTGTGTCAATATTCTTATATAACTCTTGTCAGGAGAGCAAATACATGTATTTCCCAAAAATGTCTCTTCCTTGAATTTGTAAGCCACTCAGACATAAAAACCAACTGCCACAATCCATGTAAACATCACGATCTCCTGTCATTCAGAGTAAACAGCACAAGACAACATACTCTGTTTACCATTTATTATATGCTGATGTAATATGTCAAATAACTTTACAGCAAATACTGGCTCAGGTGTGAACTTGTGAGGGCCCCATATGCCATGCTGCTTTTAGTTTGCTTTGCTCCTGGGTCACCAATAAGCTCAATTTAACTCTGTGTAGGGTTGTGTGCGTTCACAGCTTAAGGGTTGTTTTAGGCACATGAGTGTGTCTCACCCATCTGTCCTCACTGTGTTCAGCTGGCCCCTGAGAACACCATGATGTCGTTCGAGAAGAGCATTGCGTGCGGCGTGACAGCCTTTGAGACAGACATACAGCTCAGGTATGAGGGGAAAATGGGTTCATATTTTGTAAAGTAGTAGTGCACATTGTTGTTACATGTTGTTATAGGGACGGACTTGGTTTCAATACACTTCCACAAAATCCATACTACGTTTCACTTACTTGCAGAGATGACTTGGCTCAATTGGAGCGGAGCGAATGTGTGAATATACTGTGCAGTGCGTTAAGCGTGTAACAAAACCAAACAAATAGTTCTATTCCTGCGTCACAAATGCAGTATGTGGATCCAAAAGTATTCAAAATAATAGACATTGCAAAAAACAATTGGTCTCTAGCTTTTTTGCAGTAGTTGAAAAACTATTTCTTCTCAGCTTCTAATGTCACACACTTGTGTCTGTTTCTATTGATGATGATCAGTGATTGTGTGTTGCCTTGTAGTTCTTTAATAAAACAAACACAAATGGCTCCTACACACATTGTCTCTATAGCCCCACTGCATTAACTGACTCGCTAAGCCCCAATGCTGTTAGTTACTGTCGCTTGGAACGGGAGGGTGAGGCGAAGTAGTTCTGCAACTACAAAGCTGGACGCCACTAAATCCTACACACTGCATGACCCTGTTAGGCTGTATAGGTAACAGAAAAAGATATATAGACAAGAAACATAGAGGTTACAATGGTTATTAGATGTATGCTTTACTGTTCAAACTGCATTATTTACTTTTAACATTACAAGAGAAAATGCTATGAGAATGAGGAGTAACCAATGTGTTTGCTGGAGTGTCAACTTCCCACAGTAGGACAGAGCTGCTAACATTGCATTCCTTCACAGTGGGACTGTGAAGTAAACAATGAATGTACCAGGGCTTTTTCTAACATAACCTGTTTTTGAGCAGACCCACATACTGTTTAGTCCATTTCTCACACTTGCACTAAACCCCTGTCTTTGTGGTTTTGGGTTTGGAAAAGCTAGAGACACCATACTCCCAACTCTTTGTATCACTCATACTACGGCCCGTGCACACTTAAATGTGGAGAAATCTGAAGCTTGATAGACCTGCTGGGGTTTAGCAAATGATTGGTTACTTCTATTTGGTTGTTGATCCATTCAGTGTCAATAAGGGTCATACATTACTTAATGCACCTTCAATTAGGATTGTTTTGGCCTCACAGATGCAATTTCTGATGTTTTTCTAATCTAGTAAAGACAGAATTCCCTTCTTGATGCATGACAATAACTTCCCTGGGTTCTTGCGGAGAACGACAGACATTAAAGACAAGTTCCCTGAAAAAGCCAACTCCAGGGACAGCGCCAACTTCACCTGGGAGGAATTACAGAGTCTCAATGCAGGTGATTGGTTCGTAAAGGTGAGGGTTGTGCTTTGATACATGCGTTTACCACACAGTCACTCATGAAGATTTGTGTTATCATGCAACATGCTCCAGTTACAGGAAGTATTATCTGACTGTCCAGACAGATCCTTTCCACTCAGTGTCCTATCTCTCAGAAGACGACATAGAAGCAGCCAGGAATCAGACCATACCCTCCTTACTTCAGCTCCTCAACCTCGCCAAGGAGCACAACATCTCAGTGATATTTGACATATATAGTCCTGAAAAAGAAAATGAAACAGATGACATAGTCAAAACCATCTTGCATTCTGGCATTGACCGTAGCCGGGTAAGTTTGATTCTAAACCCTCTGATGGATTTTGATTGAGATCTTTTTTTGTTATGGTGCATATTTTTTCTTTTCATAGGTCCTTTGGCTTCCTCCTACAAAAAGAGAACATGTAAAGAAGATTGCTCCGGGCTTCACCCACTTCTATAAAGACAGTGAGGAAAAAGAGGGAAACTACCTGAATGTGAAATACAGCGAGCTGAATATGGCAGACATCAGGTAAAAAAAAAACAAATATGAAAATATACACCCATGTTATCTAGGTGTTAGTGCCAGGAGGCATGGACAGAAGGGTGTTAATTAGAAGTGTGTGTGCAGCATGCTGAGACATAGTGCTGGCACTGGATGTGGAGACGCAGGTTGGGCCCCTAGGGAATGAGATTCAAATAATGTCCCAACCCAGAGGTGCTGTTTTGTGCCTAAGCAAACCAACCATACAAAAGTACTAAAGAATGAAATGCAGTGTAGCAACATGTTTTGAGAAAGCACTGAAGCATTAACTTGAGTGCTAAATCAACTCACTGTGCAGGACTGTTGCATGCAACTTATATACACACACATGCAAACATACATATACATAAACATGCAGTTACATATCTGCATACACAAATATATACTGCTTTCCACAGATTCCTCGCCCTTTCCTGCAGAAAGTGTAACTTGTCCGTTTCAAAATCTATGATTGTATCCGACAGGAAACACCGTAGCAGTAACGTTACAGTGAACATATGGGGGGTTAATGAGCGTTGGCTGTTCTCTCTGCTGTGGTGTTCAGGAGCCAGCTCTGTCACCACCAACTCCTGCCACATTCTAAAAGACATGGACCGGCCTGACTGGGTCCTGGTGAGCAATAAATACAGCTGCATGTACATTAGCTTGTGCTTTACTTTCTTTAGCTTTCCATTTCACTAGCCACCATTAAATACCATCAGTCGAAACACTTACTGTGGAGCTGACAAGTTTGGACGAGTGTTGTAAAAAATATGTGACACACCTTGACCCAATGAGCATGTTTTTGTGTGTTTCAGGCGCTTCGGACCTACAAAATAATATGGATTACAGTGGACATTGCATCTATTGTGATAATAACTGGAATCTACATCTTGCAGTGGTAAGCAGAGCAGATGTTTGGTGTTGTATGAAAATGTGTATAAAGTAAATAGACTGACTCTTCCACCTCACTGTCTCTGCCAGGAAAACACACTGTTTCTCTCACAGAAAAGGTACTATTACATTTTGATTTTAATTAATCATTAAGTCTGTAAAATGTTTATGAATATTTCCATAAGCCCCGGGTGACATTCATTGACATTTCAGTCCAAAACTCAAATATTTTCAGTTCACTATCGAATGTTTGGCCTTTTTTCTTGACAAATTACTGAAGCGATTCATTGATTATGAAAATGGTTGCAGTGTTTGGACTAACCTATAAACTGACTAATTGTTTCAGCTCTAGTTAACACATTGACAATAATCATGCTAACTAGCAACCAGTATTTACATGATCAACAAGTGTTGCACACAGTGTTACTCATATCTTGATTCAAGTGATTCATCTATCAAATTATACCAAGTAAATGGACATCAAATAATCTTTTGGTGCCGCTTTCTAATAAGTCACCCTTTACAAGAGGTAAATAATGGCTCAGTTAACAGTTAATAAATCATTAAAGCTTTATTGATCAGTTAGCCCATCAATAAGAACTTTAAAAACATTTTTACTTCCATTTATTAACAACTTCTTAACAAAACTGCAAACCTGATATATTAAATGTTCATTTATTAAAGATTATATCATGGTTTGGTGGAATGGGATAAAGAAATCAAAATGTACTGAAGTATTTACCAACATTATAACATCATCATTAACAAATAGAAATGATAAATACCATATAAATGCTTTTACAGCCTGGTAATTCAACAGTTGTTCTTATTAATAGTTTATAACTGTTCTATAAATTATTTATTAACCATAAAGAAAACTGTTAGTTACAGCTTATAATCCCTTTTTACACTGTGCCTTATTAGAAAGTGGTACCAACGCCTTTACTGAAATATAACTGGAATATAACTGTTTTTTGTGCACAGGGGCAAGAAACACAACTACACCGGACTGGAACGAGAAGGAACTGGCTCCATTTATATCCAGTAGCTAGTTGGCCTCACTGCAGCAGGAAATTCTTCTGCCCCAAAACTTACAAACATCCTTGTCTGCACTGCCAGAATGGTTTGGCCCTAGATAAGGAAAAAAGCACTGAATTACCATACACTGTATTTTGAAGCCGTGAAAATAAGAATGTTTATACTGGATGTTAGTTTTTTATTCCAATATAAGTCTAGCTGGTTAACGGGGTTTATCTTTCACTGGGTTTTGATTATTTTTCTGTTGCTGCTAAAAATATGAAGCTTTCCTCTGACTGTATCATCGCAGGGGTCTCCAGCCTTTTTGAGTGAGAGCTATCTAAAGGGCTACTCTGTATACTTGACGAACGAATGTTTCAATAGAATAACAAAGCAGTGTGTAATTTCACCTTTAGTGGTTTACATATACAAGGCTGAACCAATCTGATTTGGAATTGCGGGAGTTATTTTTTCTCTGGTTTCATTAACACAGAAGCATCTTATGAGAAATCTAGTGATATGAACTATGAGTCATGTATTTAAGTGTTTGGCCACAATGGAAAGCCTTTCTACACTTCCTTGAAAGTGGTACAGAAAAGAAAAATACTTAGATAGAATAGAATATAGAATAGATTACAGAACATGCTCGGTTGTCAGCTCATAGGCTACTTGGAGACCCCTGTATTGTTGCAACGTGCACTATAGATCTGCACTGGATTTCCTCTTGACACTTTAGGTTGTTGTTCGTTTTCTGTTGTTTCTTTTTGTTACAAAATTTTTTTTTAAATCACAGTGTCATGAAAAGGGGAGTATTTGAATGATCAGGTGTGTAAATGACTGAAGGGAGGAAGCGAGGTTCACCTTGACATAGCTCAACATCACGACCTCAGGAAAGAATTTACTGTAACCTGAGCCAAAAGCACAATTTTATACACTGTCACACTCTGTATTTAATCCTCCACTTTATTGACTAGGCAGAAACAAGAAACACAGACATTATAAAAGTGGCATTAAAACATACATATCAGTTCTTTGTTTCTTTATGTTACATAAACAATAAAAAAAAACAAAATCATGTTTATGCACCGTGGTCTTTGATTTCTTGTTTCTATTGTTTGTAAAACAATGGGTGTCACATTTTCTGCAGCCTGCAAGAAATACAAAGGACCATTGTGTAACCTTGAGACTACAAATGTGAAATAACAATTTATGAACAGGATTAAATAGAAAATAAAATATGTCTTTGAAAAAATCTGTTATGCTTATTTAAAGATTCATTCCATGCTTGTATATTAGCCTATATTTACAATACTGAACTACTTACGTACTTTACTTGATAATCAAAATGTTGTACTACTTTATACTTTTTATTTCACTACATTCATTTGGCAGCAAGTTATTTTGCAGGGGGAGATTTTATAAACCCATAATGAGCATATAAAATACAAAGCATTAAATTAAACCACCCAACAGTAGCCTATATAAAATGGGTACAATTAGCTCTACAACAGCCAGCAACGATAGAAACACTAACATGTGGTGTATTATGCTTATATGTTGATCCCTTGATAATATTAATCCATTAAATAGTCAAATCTATCTTGCCTGTATGTTCCCATCCCTAAACTCAACATCACCCACTTCAGCTCCCCATACATCAGAAATATGTCATCAATCATTTAAAAAAGTAAAAGCCCATTTCAGAACAATGTATAAAATATTAATGGATTATAATAATTTACAGATCAATGTAGGCTACAGGTATCACACTTGTATCTCACTTTAATGTTGAAGCCAATAAAGGTGGGGGTAATTTGAATCACTTTATATACTGCAGGGTTGCTTAATCAATAACAACATATCATAATTTATTTGTTCATAATATGTAATAAAATATAGTTTAAATATAGTGGGGAAGAAGCCGGACCAAAACTAATCAAAAATTTAACTACACGTACTTCTTCCTCGTCAAACCCTGGCGCCTACATAACCCATAATGCAACTCCAGCGCCGAGAGTTCGGTCGGAGATTCGGTTCGGTTATGCTCGTAGCTGCTAATGCTGGAGCGCGCCGTTAGCCCGGAGCAGAAATGAGGAGCGGGCTGCCGAGGTCCGGTAAGCGAACTTCTTCCTAACTCCACACCCCGAAATTTTACTCACTTTTAAAACTTGTAGTCTTCACCCTCAACCGACGCTGAGTCACTAGAGGCAATTTATCAGACTTCGCACAGCTCCCTCTGGAGCCCCAAAAGACTTTATACAACTTTTTTCCTCCCCTACACACACACACACACACACACACACACACACACACACACACACACACACACACACACACACGCAGTAAGCTAGTTCTCCCAAAGACCTGTAAACGGACTGGGTTCCCATTTTTACTGTATTTTCCCAGCACCACCTTAACGCACCACTAGATGGCACACGATGCAAACAAAATGGAAAAACAGGCGACCTGAGGCCGAGCAGATACACTTTTAACCACCGATACGATGCTCCACAAATTCATCGATCACTTACTGATGATGCCATGACACTCTAAGGTGCATACAGGTGGCATAGTTCATTTAATATATTAATATTGGTGTTACAGTGTCCCAGTGAGGGCTTTGAGCCACTGGGCCGTTTTTTTCCATGAAGGCGAGGCAGGACTGAGAGGGGAGGAGAAACATGTCCCGTTCTTGGGGCTGTTATGCCCCCAAAAAACTTGTGGAAAGTTGACATGAAGTAAACAATCCCTCCATGTCACATCTTAACCTCTGTGTGTGGGTGTGGATTCACCGCTGACCGCCGCAGTAACAGACGGGGAGTGTCCGACGACGACTGGATGTAAAAAACAAAGTCAATATCTCACTTGTTTGTGAAGAGTGGAGCGACTGTAAATGGTTGTAGAGAATTATCCGGGACTATTGCTGTAATTGTTTTCTTTAAAAAATAATAATAATAATAATAATACCCCCAAACTGTAATTTACATGACTTTTCGAGTCGGCCACAGCATGGTTCATAAATATGGTGAGTACCGTTAACGCAACGTAACGTCTTCATCTCCCTCACGTGTCAAAAGTTTTGTAGTAAATCTCGGTTTTAGGTTTTTTTTTTAGGTAAGTGCCAGCTCATTACTCCATTAAAGCTTCTGCATGGCCTCTTCACTGGTCCACTAACTTTAACTATAAACCCTTGTTATTGTTATCCTTTTGGGGAATTAAAAAAGTACTGTAACTAGTCAAAATGTGCAAACAGCAGTTTACTTCTTCTGAGGGTTTTTTTTTATTTTCTAGATGAAAATGTTCAGTAACAGGTAGGAAACTGTGAAGTAGTAGATTTACCTCCGTGATGTGCATCATTTCTCTGCTGTGTTCCTCACCACCCACCGGGTTCAACAACCAGCTGTACAGTCGTGTTGCAAGAGGAAAAAATACCTTTAATGTGCTCTGCAGGGGAATGTAACAAACAGACGTGCTCCATTTGTGTATAAGTCACATAAAAATCTTTATTACTAGATGATATTTTCTATAACACCCTATATTTGAACTTAGCAGTGTGTTTGTGAAAGTAGTAACTTTTTTTAACCTGCTTCATTTGTAATGGTACGTTGTCCTCTATGACATGCCTTTATGGTTTTAGTATTGTAGTACGTTATTGATTGATTGTTGCCCTGTATAGACTTTATAGATTAGTGGATTGACAGAAAAGCTGCCAGCAACAATTATGTGATCAATTAACTGTCTAATTTCCGAAGCAAGATGGCACAAATTCACTGGTTCCAGCTCCTTAGATGGGATTTTCTATTTATCTTAGTCTTCTGTTAACTTAATATCTTGGATGGGCAAAACACGATTTATAAATGTCAATTGATTATTTAATGTCATTTTTCCCCATATGCTGAAATTCTATACAGTTAACAATTGATCAAGAGTAATTAATAACAAAAAAATAATATAGCGCTGATGAGGTATTTTGTCATTCATATTCTATCCCTGGATTAACTTCCCTTTAAGAGCAATGCAATAAATACTAATTTGAACCCCATTCCATGAGAATATTATTGACCCTGTCAATAATGATTGCCAACATGTATAAATTCTCTGCCGCTGTTGTCCTGAGACATGTATTTATTTTGTGAGGCAGACACAGAGAGAGCAGTGGGGCTGCTCAGACGGTACCAGGCCAACCTGACCAGTCCAGAGGAGCAGACTCTCAGGACCAGTGTGGACAAAGTGTCTGCCATCTTAGGTAGCCAGCTGTTCCAGGCCCTTCTTGGTAAGAAAAACGCCGTAAAACTGCTTGTTTTGCAGAAGGGAGTCTTTCAAAACTCTACCCTCCAGCCTAAATTACATCACAGTTTTCGCAGGGTAGACTTTCTAAATACCTTTTCCTGTTCACGCCCCCTTCTTTTTGAGTAAGGGAGCTGGTTTACAGCTTGATTTGTTTGGTTTGCTATACTCAGTTGTCACATGTCACATGTCAGTCTTTTATTCAGTGCAGCTTATATACTTTGATTTATGTTGTCATGTGATTGGCTGCAGGCAGACACAGGATGTAGACAGGGTCAGGTTGTATTAATTTGTATGGGAAGTTAACTGAGTCTAAATGTTTCCCAATTAAGTCTTATGAAAGAGGCCATTCAGTTTGCCTCACAAAGGTTTGCTGTATACCCCCCTCTGTAACATACTCAGATTGTAATGAAATCCCAATAAAGCCACGCACACACTGTATCTATAGACTGAGTTGTTGTAAGCTTGGACTTGTCACACTGTGAAAGCACAATTCTTCCTTTGACTTTGACAAAATTTTGTCTTTTTTGTGCCATATTCTTTATGAACTTAATTCAACATGACGTAGATCACTGCTCAGAAAGACTGAAAACAGTTGATTCACCATTACCAAATAGCTTTAGTTATCTGTGAAGCTCTTTACTAATCATATTCATAGTTTCTACTGCAACTGACCTGAAGAGTCACTATTATTGTGTGTAACCAGCTACAGCTTCATGACAAGTTTGGTGTTTTGGAAAAGAGCTCCGGAAGAATCAGATAAAGCACATTACTTCCGTTTAACCAATGGTTGAGCGATCCTTCTAATTACCACAGCCATGTTATAATGATGCTTGCCCCTTGGTCTGCTGTTGCTCCTGCCGACCCACTGCTGCTTCACTGCTGGGGAGCTCAGGGGGAGAGACAGCTCAGGCAGCAGCAAAGAAATACACTATGTCGGTTCTTACTAGTGATGTATCTGAAGCATTATTAAACCCACTTTTATCATATCTTTTTGTTTGTCAGGTAGGCTTAGTGCCATTTTAACAGAGAATGAATACGAGTTATATAAATATATTGTTTGTAGTGCAAGGTCAATGCAAAGTTTCATGCATGAAGACAGGATTTGTGGCTGTGTTTGCTTGCACTCCACCACAGTTGAGTTAGACTGTGGATCCCCAAGAGGTGGGAGGGACTCATTTGCTGTGTCTCATCATTTAAAGTCCACCAAATATGTCTTAAAGGGTAACTTAAAGGGTTTTCCTATCTAAGTGACTAATGGGCACAACTGTTTTTGTAATGGGTCCAGTATTGAGTGAGAGAGCTGCTGCTGCTGGCAGACTAGAAACTGGCTACAGTGTAATCATTCAGGGACATTGTGCACCATCAGTGTACGTCCATGTATGCTGGAAGAGCGAGGTGTCTAATGAGACACTGTGATGAGAGGTTTAACTTGGTTAAAATGATTAAGCATCTGAAGTAGAATTTTGAGATTTGTATTCAGGCTTGAATTAATAAGTTGTTGATAATTTTGCCTATTCTTTAAGTTTGTATTCAACATAATACCTAATCATTTCAATGAAATGTACTGATACGAATATAAATGTGACACAGAAAAGACATTTATTATTTCAGCTGGTGGCTCTTTTTTCATCTACCGGCCACCTTGATTTCAGTCAGACACTGAATACAGCGATTTTACCTCACTGATCATTGTATCATTGTAATACTAAATTCAAACTCAAGAGGAGGAAGTGGTTTGCCTGTCCCCTGTTCCAACAATTACTAACTTTTGTTTGGTTGATATAAAC